GGGTTTCTTTGGTGATCAATATCCACACTGATAACGTTATCAATTTGCAGGTCGACACCGCCGCGTCGTGAATGTCTCCCAGTAAATATCGATACATTTTCGTTTGAATTTTCCATCAAATTTTTACAGTATGTGTTGTAAGGTTTAGGAATCAACAACGCCAGGGTCATGACCAACCATGACAAAATAGAAAACAACAAAACGGCCTTCCTTGCTTTATATCTGTCAGCTAACATTGCCCAGAATGGTCCACTTATAAATTGTATCATGGGCCTTATTCCGGCCAATATTCCAACTGAACTGGCATTAAGGCCAATTTGCTTGAAATATAACGCCATATATGGAAAAGAAGCCCCAAATCCAGCGAAAAAAAGGAAATAAAATCCTTTGTAAAGCAACAGCGCCTTATCCACTTGTAATTCTTCACAAAGCAAATCTCTGAAAGACGTTCCTTGCTTGTTAGGTGTATTTTCGAGGGATTTGCTCTCGTCATTTTCCTTCCCTAAATCATCCTGGTCTGTCATTGTTTTAGCACCAAACAGGATAAAACAAAATTGGATTTTCAGTCATTTAAAAGTGACTGAAGTAGTTTTGCATTTGAAGGTGTCTGTCATTTTGGCTTTATGTCATTGGCGTACATTGTTAAGTAGACCAAATGACATACCTGTCGAAAAACCACCCTTAATCCACCAGCACATGAGAAGGGGTGGCTCAGCGGCAGATTATAAAATTAATGTGCCATAATTTGCCAGTAGGCCAGAAAACTTTTTTAGGGCTTCAAAAATTTGTGTAAGTAAGTATAAAAGTAACTTAGTCTATATGTAACCAATCACGATGCAGAGTGTGGTCAACAGACGACCAGACATAACCGTACTACCCTGTCTACTTGGCATTTTAGCGACAGAAGGCACCGGTATCTGTGTGAAGCTTTATGGCGTAGTTAATAAACATGTCAAAATACCAGAGATTAATCTTAAATCCAGAACCGCCTGAGTCAAATTTTTCTTTCCATTTGCAATGAAATAAGTGAAGGAAACAAAATTTGAAGCAAGAGTATTCAGACCTTTTGCCAGAATGACAATTGGTCGTAAATCTGTAAATTTTCTAGAGGTAAATGAAAGGTTCGGGAAAAGATTCATGAAAATGAATTATTGCTTATATATGACTAAGAACTTAAGTTTCAATGTTGAATTTAGAACTAGAAAATAACACACACGGAGAAGAGAAGTTGTGAGTTTTTGACTCGGATGGATATGAAGGATATTTATTTTGTCAAACTATTTTATTTGCATGGAATGTTGTGCATTTAACTCTCCTAGTAGCCGACACCTTTCAGTGCCGGATCGAGCCTTCGAGATAACTGGAGGGGGCGGTCATTCAGACCCTTAAATAAGGGGGACGGGGGTCTGCAATGACTCTTGAACCTCATGGCCTAAACCGCCGTGATGAATTATTGTAATCCATATCCTTAGTATTTTTCCTTCCCAGTTTTTATGTTGTACGTCATTTCCGCCTCTCCCCTTTATTGCGACATTCTCCATCTATATAATATTGTGATTGCTACATAAGTTCAGTAACATCTGTAAACCTGAAGAAGGCTGGTATGGCCAGCCGAAATATTGTTATAAAAAAACAATACACGTTGTTTTAAATCAGCTTTGCTGTAGTCTTTGGACTTCTCGTTCTTGTTCTTCGGGCCTCAGTTTGGTCTAAAAATAAGGGGGGG